AAAAAAAACTAAAACTGTTTTTCTTGAAATTAAAAAATAAAAAGCATTAAAAATACCTATTTGATTCCTGCAGTAAGATATATAGCCCCAGCTAGGTGCTACTTTATAGGATGTTCATTCTACTCACTGAGGCTTATGCCTAAAGTTGGACTTATGTTCATGGAAATGTATATATCAGGTGTGCTTGCTATGAAAATACTTAGATTATTAAGATCTTTAATGACTCAAGAAAATAGGGGGGAGGGGGGAGTATAGAAAGCAAACATAGATACCAGAGACATGGAGGAGAATGGGAGACCGCGGAGGGTAAGAGATAGGAAATCAAGGATGGGGAAAAAAAGCAAAACATACAGGAAACAAGAAATGGAAAATTATTTGTTGATGATAACATGTATGTTGATGTGCTTGATTGAGCCAATATACAGTGTACTCTGGATGGGAAATCTCACTTTGTATGCTGTAATGATATACAGTGAATGAATGTAAATAAATAAATTTAATAATAATAATAAAAGAAGAAAACACTATGGTCAGCCTTGTGGGAGTCCAGTGCTCTTAACCACCACGCCACCTGCTGGTCCCCCTCCTGTATACTTTAAATAGTCTCTAAATTAGTTACACCTAATGCCATGCAGTGTTACATAAATAAATGTTACACTTTTTATTTTTATTTTTTTATTATTTTTTTATTTTTTTGCCATAGGACATGTGTATTTGCCAGAGAGACAGAGGGAGAGCGAAAGACAGAGAGGGAAAGTGAAAAATTGCCACATTGTAATCCCTTCTCCTCCATTCTCCTCTTGGGATTTTGGGCATGCACACACACACGTGCTTGATGTGTTTTCCAAGCCTCCAGGTCCAGGACTTGAACCACAGAGTTGGCCATGTGATGTACAGCGCCTTACCACCATGCCATCTTATGCTCCATTATACTCTATTTTTAAATTTTGTGTTATTTTTACTGTTGTATTCCTCATTGTTTCAAATATTTTCTATCATAGTTGATTGAATCACAGATGTGGAACTCACAGATAGAGAGGGCTAACTGAATATAACTTGTGTTTCATCACATGACATAGATTAGTTTCACCTTGTTTTTCTTTCTTGAGTATATACTCTAAACATTTAGTGAGTGAGCAGTAAGTATTTTATTTTTCTGTACAGATTTCAAAAGCTCCACTTTTTTGTTAAGTATTCTAGTATATTTATTTTCCTGTTCCATAGTAATGTGACTTTTTATTTAAATGTATAGCCATGTCTGTTCTTCCTTTTTTTTTTTCAAAGACTTATTTAATTTAATTAATTAATTAATTTTAATTTGACTAGAGAGATACAGAGAGAGAGAGGGAAAGTGAGAAAGCAAGCAACCAGATTTGGGACTCAAACCATAGTTAGTATGTGGAGAGTCCAGTGCCCCCAACCACCATGCCACCTGCTGGCTCCTTCCTTTTTTTTTTTTTTTGATTCTGGAAGCTCAAAATGCCGGTAATACAGATTTTTTTTTTAAGAATTATTTTTATTTAACTTTATTTGTTCATTTATTTTAATTTGATCAGAGAGAGAGCGAAAGTGAGAAAGCAAGCCACCAGGTCTGGGACCTGAACCGTGGTCAGCCATGTGGGGAGTCCAGTATCCTTAACCACCATGCTGCCTGCTGGCTCTCTAGGTTATGGTTTTTTAAATAGAATTATTTACTTAACTTCATTTATTTTTATTATTATTGTTATTGTTATTATTATTATTGAATTTGACCAGAGAGAGAGAATGACAGTGAGGAAGCAAGCCACTAGGTCCTGGACTCAAACTGCAGTCAGCCATGTGGGAGTCCCGTGCCTCTAACCACCACGCCACCTGCCGGCCCTAAGTATTTGTTTCTTTTTTAAAGCAGAGAGATGAAAATGTATGACTGTTTTACATGTATATGAAACAAATGAAAGGTACGTAAACTCTTTTCTCAGGGTTCCTAAGATAAGGCAGTGCTCTGTCTGTTTTGCTTTCTCATCAAGGTACTTAATCTCAGCTCACTTTGTAATACATACAGTACTGAACCTCTGGTTTGTGCCTTTTGCTTAGATGGTTTTTTGCTTCGTTTTACTTGTAGGATTTCGTTATTGTTGTAATTTTGCTAATAACCATAGTTCCTCTTCACCTACTAGTCATCCTTCATGTTACAGGCGACATCTAGACTAAGAGAAAGAGGCTGTGATGGCTGCCTGGCAGGAATTGAAGTTCAGCAGCTCTTTTGTTCTCAAAGTGCAGCCATTCCTGAGCACCAACTAAAAGAGCTAAACATAAAAATCGACAGTGCTTTGCAAGTAAGTTTTCAGAACTAGCACATTAATATCCAAGGATAGAAATGAGGGAGGGAGTTAAAGCCATAATGTTGAATGAATCAAAGGGTGGTAAAACAGTAATTGGCCTCCAGAATTTTAATAACTAGAAGTTTAAAATTTCTATTTTTATTGGATTCTGTCGTCCTCAATCTGCTATATAATCTCGACTCTTGGAAATTATTTATTTGCAGGCATATAAGATAGCTCTGGAAAGCTTAGGCCACTGTGAATATGCGATGAAAGCTGGCTTCCACCTGAATCCAAAGGCAATTGAAGCAAGTTTGCAGGTACACTTTTCTTCTGGTAGCTCTCGGGAGCTATGGGAACTGTTCGTGCAGGACAGCATGAACCAAGTGTCTTGGCAGATGAGCTGTGTGTCACCTGTCCTCTTTTGTCCAAACCTTTTCCAGGGCTGCTGCAGTGAGGCGGAAGCCCAGCAGACAGGGCGGAGGCAGACACCCCCGCAGCCCATGCAGTGCGAGCTTCCCACCGTCCCTGTGCAAATAGGATCGCACTTCCTGAAGGGTGTCTCCTTTAATGAGTCGGCCGCTGACAATCTGAAACTTAAGACGGTAGTTTTCCATGGGGTTTCAACAACTGAACATGAACTTCAAAATAGAGTTCTCAAGGGAAACTTAAGGGCTTGTGAAAAATGTAGGTTAAAAATCAAAACCAATGGTCCAAAACGCTGCTGCTTGGCAGGCAGAGGCCCTGTGGGAGGCCCAGGTTCCATTCCTAGCCTACTCTAAAAAGCCAGGGGAGGTGGTGCTCTCTACAGACTGAGGCAGGAGGATAGTGACATAGTGAGACCCTGTCTAAAGCACAGCTTTCTCTCTCTCTCCCTCTCTTCTTCTCTCTCTCTCTCCTTTTCTTCTTCTTCTCTCTCTCTCTTTCTCTCTCTCTCTCTCTCTCTCACACACACACACACACACACACACCAAAACAACCAAACAAAATAAAGGTTAAGGAAGGAGATACTGACCTTCCTCATAAATTAATGTCTACTGTGGTATCTGCCAAGAGAGATTTTTTTTAATAATTTTTTTCAAATGTTTAACATAAAGGGTTTGAAAGTACATAAGGCTCATATCAGTTTTCTCAGTAGACTTTGGTGAATTAAGTAGGAGGAGAAGTCCTGTCATATACTGCAGTAATAACCGTTGGTAGAGCACTACATATGCCAAACGTTGTACCAGGTGCTTCACGTGTATTGTCTCATTTCACGCTCACCTCCGAGGTGGGGACTGCCCCTTTCCCCATTTGTCAGATTGGGGAACTGAGACCTGAGGTCACACAGCTAGAAAGTAGCAGAGCTGGAATTTGTGCTTATGCGTTTGTTTCTAGAGCGTGCATACCTGACCACTTGGTCATCCAAAATAGTTGAGATTTTCATTGCTATTTACTTTTACAAGATGGTTTTGTTTCCTTATTTGGAGGGATTTAGGATTTCAAAATCCCTCCGCCAGTTTGCATCAGTAGACTACTAAATAATGCTTCATTTTGTGGTAATCCAGAAATCACGTTTATGTTATCGATGCAAAGGTATTTAGCCATTTAGTCTAAAAGGGTCAAGAAGATCTCTGACGGTGACTAAGGATAATTTACTTAAACTCAAATGATATGATTTAGGTATACTTAAAATGTTTTTTTCTTGAAGATGGTTGTATAAACACATTTCTGTAAATTTTAGAACTTTGCATGGCTTTGTCTTGAGGTGTGACCTCTCTTCCTGCCAATCTGTAGCACACGATGTTACAACTCATCAAGGAAGCAGGCTGCTACAACGGAATCACACCCAGGGAGGATTTTCCTGTGACTGAAGTACTGAACCAAGTTTGCCCATCTACATGGCGGGGTGCCTGCAAGACTGCTGTGCAGCTCCTGTTTGGCCAGGCTGGACTGGTGAGTGTGTGGTGGATGACAGGGCGAATGAACAAGGGCTTTTCAAGCATGCAAGGGTGTGGTGCAGGCATGTGTGAAAATATCGAGTAATTTTAAAAGTTCTCTGGTGCTATAGAATTTAGACCAGATCAGGACCAGCAGTTAGCACAATGGCTATGTCACTGGACTCCCATGTAGTCGACCATGGTTTGTATGGACCCGGTGACTTATACTCACGCTGGGCGCATGTGCGTGTATGCCCAAGATCCCGAGAGGAGAATGGAGGAGAAGGGATTGCAGCATGGCCATCCCCCCTGGGGGTTGATTTCTTGCTTTCTGTCTCTCTCTGTCTTTCCAGCAAGCGTACGTGCCCTATAGCAAAAAACTCTCAAAAAAATAAATAAATAAAAGAATTTAGACCAGATAGAGAAATTTAACAGGAAGAGCAAAATTTAAGGTTTTTTTCCTTTTTTACTGATTGGTAATAGGTATTTTCAAGAAACTTTATATTGTAAGCTTTTCTTATTTTAAGGAAATTTATCACATTGGTAGTGATTTGACCAGGCCCAGTGACTGGCCTGATGATTCTGGAACTACTGGGGATGTCATTGTGCTACTCAAATAGGCCACGCCTCTTCCTGTCTCTGGCCTTAGCCCTAGATACCTCTTGTACCTAAAGATACTCTTCTCTCTGTTTTTTTTTTTTTTTTTTTAAATTTCTCTTTCCTCTTTTTTTTTTTTTTTTTTTTTGAGAGGTTTTCGCTATAGGGCGCGTGTGCTTGCCAGACAGACAGAAAAACACATAGAGACAGAAAGCGAGAAATCACCCCCCACGGGGGATGGTCACACCGCAATCCATTCTCTTCCATTCTCCTCTCGGGATCTTGGGCATGCACGCACACGCGCCCAGCGTGAGTTTTAAGCCACCAGGTCCGGGACGCTAACTGTGGTCGACTACTTGGGAGTCCAGCGACATAGCCATTATGCTAACTGCTGGTTCCCATCTTCTCTCTGACCTTCATGTGGCTCTCTCCTTCCCATCCCGGGGTCAGCTCCAGTGTCCCCTCCAGGAGACCTTCCGTGACTGCATGGGTGTGAGTGGTACCTCCACTCATTCACTTGGTACTCTGTTTTTCTCCTTAGCAGTAGAATGACATCAACTCAAAAATAATGATTTGGTCTTTTCACCTTTTAGAGAATAAGCAAAAACTTTTGCCAGATTTGGGTGGGGTCAGGAGATCAACTTCTGAAATCACCATTTAGCTTTTTGTTTGGCACCATTGACCCGTATCACCATGTGTACTTAATTCTACTTTGTGGTTAATGACTGCTATTTTTTTTTTTTTTTTTTAAGAATTACTTTAGTTTTAATTTGACTAGAGAGGGACAGAGTAAGAGAGGGAGGGAGAGGGAAATTGAGAAAGCCAGCTGCCAGGGACTCGAACCACAGTCGACCATATGGGAATCCAGTACCCTTAACCACCATGCCACCATGCCACCTGCCGGCCCCATGACTGCTTTTTTTTTTTTTTTTTTGGAGAGGTTTTTGCTATAGGGTGCGTGCACTCGCCAGATAGACAGAGAGAGACAGAAAGCGAGAAATCACCCCCCAGGGGTGATGGCCATGATGCCATACCTTCTCCTCCATTTTCCTCTCGGGATCTTGGGCACGCACGCACTCGCGCCTAGCGTGAGTTTTAAGCCACCAGGTCCGGGACATGAACAGCGGTCGACTATGTGGGAGTCCAGCGACATAGCCATTACGCTAACTGCTGGTCCCATGACTGCTTTTTGTTTATAGTACAGTATAGTATATTTTGTGTGTATGTGTGTCTGTATTATGTATTTTGTTTTTGTTTTTAGAGAGATTTTTGCTATAGGGCATGTGCACTCACTGGAGAGACAGAAAGAAAGTGAGAGCTCACCCCCGCCCAGGAAGGATGGCCACACTGCAGTCCCTTCTTCTCTATTGCCCTCTTGGGATCTTCGGCACACATGCACACACTCTTGGCGTGATGTTTAAGCCGCTGGGTCCAGGACTTGAATCATGGTTGACTACATGGGACTCCAGCAACGTAACCATTATGTCATCTGCTGGTCTCAGTATTATGTTTAAGTTTGTTTATTTTTTCTATGAGCAAGAGAGGCAGGCACTGCCAGTGCGGGGTCTTGAGGTATGACGATCTCAGCCAACCCCAGATCTTGGACATGCACATGCCTGACATACTCAGGGAGGTCTCTGGACACAAAACCCTTCCTATGTGGATCAGCCTCTCAGAGCATCACATTTTACCTGTATGTCATCAGCTGACCCATGGCTACTTTTTTGAAAAGATAGCATTTTGGCCAAAGGTTAGAGGAAGCTAATTAGAGATTGAGAAAATTGAATTATGTGTTTTGGAACAGCAGATGAGTGTGGTGGTTAAGGCACTGGCCCCCCACATGGCCGACTCAACAGTTCAGGTTCTGGGCCCGGCTATTTGAATAAGATACCAGGCACATGTGCATACATGTCTGAAATCTCCGAAGAGGGGAATGGAGGAGAAGGGATTGGATTATGGTGTGGCTATCTGCCCTGGGAGATGATTTACTTTCCCTCTGTCTCCCTCTGGCAAGCATATGCGCCCTATAGCCCCCCAAAAAAGAACTGTCTTTTTTAAGTTCGATTTCTACTTTATTCATGAAAAGAAGTATCAGGGATACTGTCCTTTTTCATGAGGGTGAGGTTTAGGTGGCCCAGCTTAGGGTGATACTGCCTTGTAGAGGGACAGATGAAGGTCTGTCCACAGTGGAGAGTTAACATTTCCTTCAGGATTTGTTCCCAGTAGTAGAACTCTCAAGAAGTAAACTGGAGATGCCATGCTGAAGTATGGAAGGGCCCACTGCCTTTAGGAGATTGATCCATACTTCAAATCTAAGAGAACCATGGCAATGAGTTCTGAAAGGAAAATAAGCCAGAGGACACAAAGGCTGTTTTGAGAAAACATTGTAGGTTAAAAAAAAAAAAAAAAAAAAAGGCATAGCTTCCTACCCCTTGATTGTAGAGCACTTTTGTGTATGACTGACAAAGAACCTTTAGATTATGGTTGGGGGGGGATGGGAGGAGAAAGGAAACACCTGTTCTAGTCCAACAATGGCTGTTCCTTGGACAGGAAGTATTTTCCAAAGGACATTGCAGACCAGCTGTGGGAACTATGTTTACAGCAGTAGAAATCAGCTTCGTTTGAGGCTGAATTTAGAATAGGGATAGGCAGCTGTACGTGGCTTTTCCCCTTCTGAAGTCCTACAGATTCTGTCTTAAAATGTTTCATGATTATTTTCTTGAACTTCTTTTTAAGTTATTTGAAAATGTGTTCACCACTTTGTCAAACTCTTCAGATTACCTAGGATACTATATCATCTGTGTAGTATTAAAATTCCTGTGGGTCCACCTGGTGATATGGTGGTTTAGGCAACTGGATCCCACATGGCCAACTACACGGTTCAAGTCCTAGACCTGGCAGGTTGAAAAATCCCAAGAGGAGAATAGAGATGGGATCATGGGATGGCCATCCCCCCAGGGAGTATTTTTCACTTTCCCTCTTTCTGTCTCTCTGGCAAACATATATAATAACTATAACAAAACGTAAGGAGATGGCAGGTGGCATGGTGATTAAGGTGCTGTACTCCCACATGGTCGACCGCGGTTCGAGACCTGAACCTGGCAGCTTGTTTTCTCACATTCCCTTTCATTCTGTCTCTCTCTGGTCAAAATTTTAAAATAATAATAAATAAAATTAAATACATAATTCTTTTTTTTTTCTTTTTGGAGAAGTTTATGCTATAGGGCACATGTGCTTGCCAGAAAGACAGAGACAGAGAGACAGAAAGTGAGAAATCACCTCCCAGGGGGAATGGCCACGCCGCAGTCCCTTCTCCTTCATTCTCCCCTTGGGATCTTGGGCACTCATGCACATGTGCCCGGCGTGAGTTTAAGCTGCCAGGTCCAGGACTCGGGAACTGCGGTCGACTACATGGGAGTCCAGCGACATAGCCATTACGCTAACTGTTGGTCCCAAATACATAATTCTTAAAGGGCCAGCATATGGTGTAATGGTTACGTCACTGGACTCCCATGTGGTTGACCATGATTCGAGCCCCAGACCCGGCGACTTGAAACTCATGCCAGGGACATGTGTGTGCATGCCCAAAATCCCGAGAGGAGAGCGGAAAAGAGGGGAATTGCAGCATGGCCATCCCCTCAGGAGGTGATTTCTCATTTTCTATCTGTCTGTCTCTCTCTCTCCAGCAAGTACACGTGCCCTATAGGAAAAAAAAAGTCTCTCTAAAAAAAAAATTGCATTAAAAAAAGAAAGAAAAAACCTCCCTAAGTAAGTAGGAATCATTGAAAGAATGATTCCTTCTTTGTCTTTTCTGAACTAGTTCTGTTTTCATTGGTAGTTGAGGATAAAATAATCTTTTATAATAATATATAATAATCAGCAGATGGCATAACGGTTATGTCGCTGAACTCCTCCTACCTAATTGACCACAGGTTGAGTCCTGGACCTGGCAGCTTAAAACTCACACCAGGAGGGGGCCAGTAGGCAGCATGATGTTTAAGGGTGGTGGACACCCACATAGCCAACAGCGGTTTGGGTCCTGGACCTGTCGGCTTGCTTTCTCACTTTCCCTCTCTCTCTGTCTCTTTCTCACACTGTCCCTCTCTGTCAAATTAAAATAAATAGGTCCGGCAGGTGGTGTGGTAGTTAAGGAAGCTGGATTCCCACATGGCCAACTGTGGTTCAAGTCTCGGACCCACCAGCTTGCTCTCTCACTTTCCCTCTCTCTCTCTCTCTCTCTGGTCAAATTAAAAATAAATAAATGAACAAATAAATAAAATTAAATACACAAAAAAAACTGACACCAGGAGTATGTGCATGTGTTCCCAAAATCCTGAAAGGAAAATGGAAGAGAAGGGATTGTGGTGTGGCCATCCCCCTGGGTGATTTCTCACTTTCTGTCTCTCTCTCTCTCTCTCTCTCTTTCTGGTGAACTCATATACCCTATGGCAAAAATCTGTCTTAAAAAAAAAAAAGACTTCATCCACTTCTACTCAGTCATCTCAAATGACTGAGCATTGGTTCAACTTTTACTGACATTTTTACTTCTCTCAAGTTATAGAGTAAAAAATATTAAAAGCTAAGAGGAAATAAAGTAATTTCCAATTAATATATTTATAGTGTTGGAAAAGTACTAGAGATGCTTACAAAAGTTCAGTAAATCCTACACCCCGAATTTGGATTCTGTGTACTAAAGCGTTACCGATATATTCGGTTATCTTTATTACACGCTGTTGTCTTCACAGGGCCCCTGACTGGCCTTGGTGTAACCACACTGCTGGGAGAACAGTTCTTGCCAGAGTCATTTGGCATCGATAGGTGCATGTAGTGGATTACTCTCGCATCTGTTTTCCTCTCTGAAAGCTGCTTGTTGTTTTTGCTTCTCTTTTAGGTGGTAGTTGATACTGCACAGATTGAAAATAAAGAAGCCTACGCCCCCCAAATCAGTTTAGAAGGCTCCAGAATTGTGGTTCAAGTTCCATCCACCTGGTAATGTGGCTCTTACATTAACAGAAGCCTAAGCTCAGAGAGCAATTGGCACATCTCTGAAAGAATTGCTTTGATGAACAAACTCCATGCTAGCCGACACACTAGGTCTCACGCTGTGGGTGTGTTTATGGCACAGTGATATTTTAGTGGTGCTGTCATGATTGGTTCATGATGAAGAAGCCAAGATGTCCAAAAAATGGTCTCATTGATCACATTGCAGCTAAATGTTATATATTTATGGACAATAATGAGCAGTATTGTCTTTTTTTTTTTTTTTTTTTTGGTTACTGAGTCCACAGCTTTTAAACAGTGTATCATTTTCTCTATGTCACCACTGTGAATAGGGAACAGAAAATTCCTTGTCCTCATTTGTTAGCGCTAACTAAAATCCTGATCTTGAGCTCATTTTATTCACCCTGTGTCATTGCAAATTTGGGGATAATCTAACCTGTTTTGACTTATTTAATTATATTTGTGATACCTATAATAGATAAAAGGTTATTTTAAAATTTACTTATTATTAAAAACTCCTACAAATCAATAAGAAAGTGGTCAAGGGTTGTGAACAGGTAAGTTAGAAAAGAAGTTAATATATGGTCTGCAGATAGATGAAGACAATGTGTGACTGACCACACCTAATAATCAAAGAAAGGCAAAGTGAAGAAACATTATGACACAAGAGGAGAATGGAGGAGAAGGGATTGCCAGCCCCCCGGGAGATGATTTCTCTCTCTTTCTCCCTCTCTCCCCCTCACTCTCCATCTTCCGTGAGCACATGTAGTGAACTTAAAAAAAAAAAAAGAAAAAAGCCAAACAAAACAGTATGAAACCATTTTATGCAAAATGTTAACATGTTTTCAAATAATACTAAACATTATGGCTAATACTGGTATGGGTTAGACTACAAAGTAAACAACCAAAGAGGCTATCTAATAGAGAATAAATCACACAGCTCTTCTGGATGATACTTACTGGTGTATCAGAGGCCTGAGTAAGGGATAGGACCTCAGCAGTTCTATACTGCCACCTTTAGGAATTGATCCTTGTGACAGATATACAGATTTGGCTCTAAGGGTCAGCATCCTAGCTTTATTAATAAATATATACTGGAAGACTTTTCTTTTTCTTTTTTTTTTTTGGAGAACTGTTTTTTGTTTGTTTGTTTGTTTGTTTGTTTGTTTCCGCTATAGGGACAACTCATCAGAAAAACAGAGAGACAGACAAAAAGCGAGAATCACTCCCCAGGGGGATGGCCACACTGCAATCCCTTCTCCTCCATTCTCCTCTTGGGATCTTGGGCGCACATGCACACGCACATGGCGTGAGTTTAAGCCATCAGGTCTGGGACTCGAAGTGCAGTCAACTACATGGGAGTTCAGCGACATAGCCATTATGCTAACTGTTGGTCCCCTTGAAGACATTTCTTAAAATGTTAATCTGAATGGATATTTAACTACATACAAAATATTTAAATCTTTTAAGTAAAAAGAGATAAAGATAGTAAGAAGCAAGGCACTGTCGGTGCCTGTGTGGACTGCAGTGAGTCTGCTAAAAGTGTGTAGAACCAGTTGGTACCTTCAGTAAGTCTTTGGTTGACATGTGTCCCGAACCTCTATATGTGAGTAACACGCATCATTCCCTCATGTACCACAATTTAAATTTGATCGTTGGAATGATTTACTCTGCCTTGAAATTATTGGTAACTTACATATATATCTTCATTATGCTAACTGGTGGTCCCCATATATATCTTCATTTCTATCAAACAATAAATAAAAGATCTACCTTCGTGTAAGATTTTTTACGTTCACACATTTTTTCTCCAATTCATGTTATCATTGAGAAATACTAAATTTAATCAGAATTCTCCTTTTGAAGAGAAGTTTGGACTTTTACGTAGTTGGGTGAATATAAACAACTAGTACTAAAATGACTAACAGTTCAGTTTATTTCCCAAACTCTTCCCTTTGTTGTTGATTTCCTTTGGAATTCATTGCACCTCCTTGAAAAAGACCTTGTAGTTCATGATTCCTTGAAGCGGCTCCCTCTGTTGGCTGCTTCTGGTAATGGTGCAAAATTTTAGGTTTTCTTTTTTTAAATTTCTTTCAACTTATGTATTTGAGAAGAATACAAATAGAAATGAGTTGTTTATTCCATCTCTGTAAAAGTGATATCATTAGTAAAACAAGGCAAGAATTTATTATTTGCTTTGGTTTTCTTTCCTTTTTTTCAACATTTTATTTATTATCTACCAACTGTGATTTTCATTTATTTATTTATTATATTTATTTATTTTTAATTTGGCCAGAGTGGAACAGAGTGAGTGAGAGTGAGAGAGAGAGAGCGAGAAAGAGAGAGAGAGAGAGGAAGTGAGAAAGCCAGCCATCAGGTCCAGGACTTGAACTGTGGCAGGCCATGTGGGAGTGCAGTGTCCCCAACCACCATGCCACCTGCCAGTCCCTCTATTGTGATTTGTAAGCCACCAGGTCCAGGACTCAAACTATGTCACAGCCATGTGGGAATCCAGCTGCCTTAAACACCACAACACTTGCTGGCCCTGAATGTGTTGCTTTGCTTTTAATGTCCAGTTGTGAGATACAATTTTTTTTTTCCTAATGAAATAATACCTCACTTAATTTTTTTTTGGGGGGGGGTTTGCCATAGGGTACATGTGCTTGCCAGAGAGACACAGTGAGAAGGAAATAAGAAATCAACCCTTGGGAAGATATTAATGCCATAATCCTTTCTCTTCTATTCTCTTCTCAAGATTTTGGGCATGCTTTATATGTGCTCTGTGTAATTTTTTTTTTTTTTTTTTTGGGGGGGTTTTTGCTATAGGGGGGTGGGGCTCCAAGACAGAGAGAGATAGAGAGACAGAAAGCGAGAAATCACCCCCACAGAGGGGATGGCCACACTGCAATCCCTTCTCCTCCATTCTCCTCTCGGGATCCTGGGCACGCACACCCCCGCATCCGGCGTGAGTTTAAGCCACCGGGTCCGGGATTCAAACTACATGGGAGTCTAGTGACATAGCCATTACGCTAACTGCTGGTTCCCCCCACCCCCCACCCCCATGTAATTTTCAAGCTGCTGGGTCTGGGGTTCAAACTGTGGTTGGCCATGTGGGAGTCCAGTGCCTTAACCACCATACCACCTGCTGGCCCCCACCTTAAACTGTCATTTTTCTGTGTGTTTTAAGCTATCCATCCATCTGTTCTTTCTTTACCGATTGCCACTATGTACCCAGACACTGTTCTATTTGCTGGGAAGTTAATCATGAGCAAGGTAGACCGAAGTCTTTTTTTTTTTTTTTTTTTTAAGAGACAGATATTTTTGCTGTAGGGTAGATGTGCTTGCTGGAGAGGCAGAAAGTGAGAAATCACCTCCTGGGATGGCCATACCATAATCCCTTCTCCTTCATTCTCTGTTCTCCTCTCAGGATTTTAGGCATGCATGCATACGTGCCCGGCATGAGTTTTAAGATGCCAGGTCGGGGTCTTGAATCATGGTTGCTGATGTGGGAGTCCAGCAACGTAACCATTATGCCATCTGCTGGTCCCAGGATCCCTGACCTTCTAGAACTGACTCTGTAGCAGAAAAGAGGAGAAGATAGCTAATAGCATAAGAGAGGAGTTCAAACACTGGCAAGTGTATGGAGGAAGTTAGAGTACAGTTACATGACAGAAAATAATGGAACTCGAGTTGGGGGTGGTCAGTCAGGAAGGATCTCTGTGAGGAAATGACATTTGATTTGAGAGGAGCCAGCCATGAGAGCAGATGGGGAAAGCATTCCAGGCAGAAGGCACAGCAAATGCACCGACCTAAGGAGTGAGCTGGCATAGGTGGAGATGTGGAAGGAGGTGATGAAGAGGATTTGTAGGAGTAAAAACTGACAGAGCCCTGGAGAGAACTGGATTTTTATCTAAGAGCAGGTAGAGGGTTTTAAGCAAGTCTTGGTGATTTGTCAACAGAGCAGCGTGTATTTTACTGATCAGCTCTCAAGGTTGATGAGTAAAAGTTCCAATTCCTTGATTTTTCAGGAGGAAATTATAACTAGGTACCATTGTACTTCTTTCTGCATGGCCAGCAAATACTTAATGAGCAAACATATGTGACAAGTCAGAGCACAACCAGATGTATACTTGGGAGCATAGAGCAAGTGTGTCCCGTCAGCCCTTCCAGGCACAGATCCCCACAAGTTAAGGGCTCAGTCCCACAAGACTGCTTTCTGCTTCAGACACCAGTCGCAGTTCCCAGCTCGTCACCTGCACCTCTGCCCAACTGTCTATAAGTGGAGGATTCCCATAATAACTTCCTCAGGTTCGATCATTTGCTGTAACGGCTCACAGAACGCAAGGAATCATTTGTCTTTTTACTAGTTTATTATAAAGGATATTACAGGGTACAGATGAATAGCTAGATACAGAGGTAGACAGGATGAAATACATGGGGAGGGGGCAGGGCTGTCATGCCCTTGCATGGGCACCACCCTCCTAGTACCTTGATGTGCTCTCTGACCCAGAAGTTTGCTGAACCCCATAATTGAGGGATTTTTATGGAGGCATCATCATGTAAACCATGATTGATTATTAATTCTCCCCTCCCCAAGGATGGTGGAGTGGAGCTTCTAATTATGGGTGACCGGCCGCCATCCTAAAACTATCCAAAATCCCATCAGAAATCATCTCAGAGCAGGGCCAGCAGTTGGCATAATGGCTATGTTGCTCCCATGTGGTCGACTGGGATTCGAGTCCTGGACCTAGTGGCTTAAACTCAAGCCAGTCACGTGTACGTGTGTGCCCAAGATCCTGAGAGGAGAATAGAGGAGAAGGGATTGCGGTGTGGCAATTCCCCGCCCCCCAAGGGGTGATTTCTCGCTTTCTGTCTTTTTGTCTCTGTCTTTCTGGTGAATGCATGTGCCCTATAGCAAAAAAAAAAACTCTCCAAAAAAAAAAAAAAAAAAAAAAACCCTCAAAAAAAAAAAAAAAAAAGAAAGAAAGAAAAAAAGAAATCATGTTAGAGCAAGACACTTCTCTCCCTCCGAAAATTCCAAAGGATTTAGGAGCTCTATATCAGCGACCAGGGTCAGAGACCAAATATCAGAACAAAAGATGCTCCTAGCACTCCTGTCGCTCAGGAAGTTCCAAGGGTTTTAGGAGCTGTGTCAGGAACTGGGGGCAGAGACCAAATGTGTATTTATTACGACAGAAGACTCCAGGCCCTATTTCTTCCTCCTCCTTCTGCAGAGCACTGAGTTCCAATGTTAGCCTTGCTGTTCTCTAAATGGTTTTATAACTACTAAATTTCTAGAAGGTGCCAGAGTACATCAAAGTTGTAGCCTTTTCTGTGAGAACTTTGCAGAGAAGTTCACGCAACCTGCTTTGTGCCTAGGTGCCTGAAAGAAGACCCTGCTACCATGTCACTTCTGCAAAGAAGCCTTGATCCTGAGAAGACCCTGGGGCTCGTGGATGTGCTCTACACAGCTGTGCTGGACCTAAACCGCTGGAGGGCAGGGAGGTTAGTGTCCACACTGGTCCCTTGAATTGGCTGTGCGAGTGGTTTGCACTTAGGTCCACACCCAGGGTTTAAGTGACAATATATAGTTTTACATGTGCTTACAATCCCTGATGGAGTGTGGGTAAGGCAAAAAAGAAAACTCTTTGGGGTCAACAGGTGGCATGAAGGTTAAGGCACTGGATCCCATGTGACTCCTTCTGTCATTCGAATCTGGACCTGGCAGCTTGAAAATTATACTGGACACGTATGCATATGTACCCAAAGTCCCGGGGCAGGGGGTTGGGGGTGAGGAGCAGGGAGGCAGCAGGTGGTGTGGTGGTTAAGGTGCTGGACTCCCACGTAGCTAATCATGGTTTGAGTCCCAGACCTGGCAGCTTGCTTTCTTACTTTCCATTTTTCTCTCTCTGGTCAATTAAAAAATAAATAAATCGAGAGGCGGCAGGTAGAATGGTAGTTACGGACACTGGACTCCCACGTGGCCAACAGCAATTTGAGTTCCAGACGTGGCGGGTTGCTTTCTCTCTTTCTCTCTCTTTCTCTCACCCTGTCCCTCTCTGGTCAAATTAAAATAAGTAAAGATAAATAAAACAATTATTTAAAAAATTAAAAATCTATCAGTCAATAAATTAAATAATTCTAAAAAAATAAAGTCCTAGGAAGAGAATGGGGAAGGGATTACAGTGTGGCCATTCCTCCAGGGAGTGATTTCTTGCTTTCTCTCTGCCTCTCTTTGGCAAGCACATTTGCCCTATGGCAAAACAAAACCAAGGGAGGTGGGGGGGGAGAAAGAGAACTCTGGTAGCTTTTTCATTTTGGAATAATTTTAAATCTGCAGAAAAGTTGCAGGAATATTATACTGAATTGCTCTGTGAACTATACCCAGGTTCTCTGATTTATTAACATTTTTGCCTTAATTTGTTTTATTTTTGGAGAGTAAATCCATGAAGTGGACTTTCAACCCAACCCATATTCTCCTGATGAACTAAGAGCAGAGAAATGTTTAGAAAATGTACTGAAGCCCTTCATCAAATTTACATATGTCTGAAAATAATTGACAGTTGCAAGATTATCTTAAAAAGATAAAAGATTGGAACCAGCAGTTAGCGTAATGGCTATGTCGCTGGACTCCCATGTAGTCGACCACGGTTCGAGTCCCAGACCCGGTGACTTAAACTCATGCCGGGCACATGTGCATGCGTGCCCAAGATGCCAAGAGGAGAATGGAGGAGAAGGGATTGCGGCATGGCCATCCCCCCTGGGGGGTGATTTCTCGCTTTCTGTCTCTATGTCTCTGTCTGTCTGGCGAGCGCATGCGCCCTATAGCAAAAACCTCTCCAAAAAAAAGATGAAAGATTAAAAAGAAAATTGGTGGGACTAGCAGAAGGTGTAATGGTTATATTGCTGGACTCCCACAGTTGCTGGACTTCCATATAGTCGACCATGGTTTGAGTCCCAGACCCAGTGACTTAAAACTCATGCCAGGTACATGTGCATGCATGGCCGAGATCCCAGGAGGAGAATGGAGGAGAAGAGATTGTGGCGTGGCAATCCCCTCAGAGGGTGATTCTTGCTTTCTGTCTCTAGTGAGCACACACACCCTATAGGAAAAAAAAAAAATCTAAGAAAAAAGAGAGGAAAAATGATAAAATTGGTAATTTTACGACTGGTAGAGAGACCTTAAACATCCGGCCATGCTCCCTTCTCCCTTTCTTTTGTTTTACTTTTGTGTGTGTATGTGTGCCAGAATGAGGGCATATGGGGACCAGCAGTTAGCGTAATGGCTATGTCACTGGACTCCCATGTAGTCGACTGTGGTTTGAGTCCTGGACCCAGTGGCTTAAACTCAGGCCGGGTGCGTGTGCGTGCGCGCCCAAGATTCTGAGAGGAGAATGGGGGAGAAGGGATTGGGTCATGGCCATGCCCCCTGGGGGGTGATTTCTCACTTTCTGTCTGTCCGTCTGTCTCTGTCTTTCTGGCAAGTGCACATGCCCTATAGCAAAAACCTCTCCAACAAAAAGTAGAATGAGGGCATATGCGAGAGAGAACCCCCGACTGGGTCTGGTCTCTCTGCAGTCCTTTTCTTCTAGTTCTCCATTGGAGAACTGGGCGTGCATGTGCACCAGTATGATTTTCAAGTCAATAGGACCATGACTGAAACCCCAGTTGGCCGTGTGGAATATGGCTTTCTCTGCACTGCTCCCGACTGCTGCTCCACAGGGCCAGCCATCCCCCACCCCCTCATTTTCTCCCTTTCTTAACTCAAGCTCAGAAATCCAAAACAGTGACGTGATTTCCTCAGGTCCTCAGAGGCCTCTTACCCTCTCTATGTACCGGGCTCTCTCTTAGCACAGGAAAATATCGATAATATACAGAAAACTTAGTAAGTAACAGCCATCTATTCAGACAGTGCATAGTGTCCCCAACCTCAGCAGTCCCCTGCTGTATGGCTTTGTCTGTTGTCCCTCTGCTGGATCTGCCTGGTTCTCAGTCCCTACTCTCCAGGCACAAAGCTAGCCTCTGCCGGTGGCATGCCCACTCTCGCCATCTGCTCTTCTCATTAGACGGTTTCACCTAGTCCGACTCCTCAGGCCAGAATCCTAATGTTACAGTTTCCACAGCCCACATTAGATGTCATCGACTATGTACACTCAAAACCTTTGAGTGTTCATTTATTTATCTACACTCTAAGTGATCCCAGTACCAACCACAGAGACTTTCTTGTTTCCCAATATTTTTTAAACATAAGAGGTCCTTGTCATTTTCCAACTTGTTTATTGTCTATTGATAACATGTCTTTTGTTTTGTTTGTGTAAACAGGGAACAAGCTTTGCCCTGCATACAGATCCAGCTTCAGAGGGAGATCTGCGATTTTGGGAATCAGGCTGACCTGCCTTCTGGGAATGGAAGCAAATCTTCAGGTGGCCTACAGAAGACATTCTCCAAACTGACGTCCCGGTTCACCAAGAAAGCATCCTGTACCGGCTCTAGCAGCAGCACAAATTATTCCATCCCAAATACCCCTTCCAAAAACATCTTCGTCACTGGATGTTCAGAAGAGAAGGCCAAAATGCCCAGTAACATTGATGCAAGGTTACAGAGCATTTTGAACATTGGTAATTTCCCTAGGACTACAGACCCTTCACAGTCAGCTCAGAATTCCAGTAATCCAATGGCCAATGGTTTTCTCATAGAGAGGCGAGAGAACTTCCTGCACGGGGATGACAGCAAGGATGAGAAGGGTATGAACTTACCAACCGATCAGGAAATGCAGGAGGTGATAGATTTTCTCTCGGGCTTTAACATGGGCCAGTCACATCAAGGCTCCCCACTGGTAACAAGGCGTAATTCTGCTGCCACAGCCATGGTGACTGAACAGAAGGCAGGAGCCATGCAGCCACAGCAGCCGTCACTGCCAGTGCCCCCTCCGCCGCGGCCCCCCCAGGCTGGGGCACACACCCCTCTGACATCCCAGCCAGGATTGGCACCTCAGCAACAGTCTCCAAAGCAACAACAGCCCCAAGTCCAATACTACCAACACCTGCTCCAACCCATTGGACCACAGCAGCCCCCACCCCAGCCTCGGGCACCTGGGAAATGGGTACATAGCTCATCCCAGCAGCCCACACAGCCTGTTGGAGCAGGTCTGTCTCCCCTTGGTCAGTGGCCTGGCATCTCTGATCTCAGTTCTGACTTGTACAGCTTGGGTCTGGTGAGCAGCTATATGGATAATGTGATGTCAGAGGTTTTGGGACAGAAGCCACAGGGACCGAGAAATAACACCTGGCCAAACCGTGACCAAAGCGAAGGAGTCTTCGGAATGTTGGGAGAGATTCTGCCTTTTGATCCTGCAGGTATGTGAAGCCCCCCCACCCTTCCTTACTCCATTTCTGGATAGATGTAACCACTGAGGACTTCATAGGGCCTGCCTGTTCCTGTCTTCCTTGTGAAGGTGAAGTAACTTAGTCCCCCATAAGTCCCTTTCCTGTTGTACAGAAGCAAGTAGGTGGCACATCTAGCAAGGCTGGGAAGCAATGGTGAGAAAGAGGGTGGAAGATAAGCACCATTGTTTTTTTTTTCTTTATGTAAAGTGCAAGATACAGTCTAAAGGCAGCAGATGATGTAATGGCTATGTTGCTGGACTCCCGTGTAGTCAACTGCAGTTTGAGTCCCAGACTTGATGGCTTAAACTCACACCAGGTGTGTGTACGTGCGTGCCCAAGATCCCGAGAGGAGAATGGAGGAGAAGGGATTGTGACATGGCCATCCCTCCGGGGGGTGATTTCTTGCTTTCTGTCTTTTTTTTTTTTTGGAGAGATTTTCACTGTAGGGCGCGTGCGCTCGCCAAACAGACAGAGAGAGACATAGAGACAGAAAGCGAGAAATCACCCCCCAGGGGGGATGGTCACGCCGCAATCCCTTCTCCTCCATTCTCCTGCCATTACGCTAACTGCTGGTTCCCTTGCTTTCTGTCTTTTTGGCAAGTGCATGCGCCCTTAGCAAACACCTCTCAAAAAAAAAAAAAAAAACCATGCTTAGATCTATTTCACTAGAGAGATTAGAAGGGCCAGGTAGTGATGCAGCTGGGAAAGGTCCCATATGGGAAAGGTCCTGGTTCACCTGATCCTGAGCACTCTGGGCACACAAATGCCTGTGACTGGGCTGGCTGGCAGAAGGAGTGCATCATGGCATGGAGACTCTGTTGAGGGTGCCTCTGTGTGTGTGTGTGTGAGTGTCTGTGCATGGGTGTGTCTTTCTCATGGAAGAAATAAATATATAAGCTTAAAAAAAGACAGATTGAAATGGTGATTAAAGACCTAGTGAAGAGGAACCGGCAGGTGGCGTGATGGTTAAGGGTGCTGGACCCCATATGGTTGACTGTGGTTGGCGTCCCAGGCCTGGCGGTTTGCTTTCTCACTCTTTCTCTCTCTTTCTGCCTCTCTCTGGTCAAATAAAAAATAATTCTTAAAAATAAATAAATAAAGATCTAGTGAAGAGCCAGTCCTTTACTGGAGTGGTTAAGCACTGCACAGTGGAAGCTGGATCCCACGTTGCTGACCCAGGGTTAAAGTCCAGGTTCTGGCAGCGTGAAAAACAGGCATGTGTGTGCATGCTCAGGATCCTGACGAGATGGAAAATTGGAGGAAAAGGGATTGCAGTGTGACCAGGACCCATGGGAGCCTTTGTCATTAAAACAAACAAACAAACAAACAAACAAAAACTAATGTAAAGGATCAGGACCAGCTGGATTCATAGGCAGCCTTTTTTTTTTTTTAAGTTTGCCAAAGGGTATGTGTGCACCCCAAAGAGAGAGAAAGTGAGAAAGCACCCCCTGGAGAATGGTCACGCTGGTCACCTTGGTGTCCTCTCCCTCCTCTTGGGATCTGGGCACTCATGCGCACATGCCTGGGTTGTTTCTCAAGCCCCTGGGCCCAGGACTCAAACCTTATAGTTGGCTACGTGGGGTGCTGATTTAACAACCATGCTATGGGCTAGCCCCATTGGCAACTATAATCCCATTTTTAAGGCACAGATAAATCACAATTATTTGAACTATCTCAGGCACAGAAAAAGAGAAAGTTTCCTTTTTTTTTTTGTATTTTATTTTTTTAATTTTAAGGTTTTTGCCTTAGGACACTTGTGCTTGCCCGAGAGAGACAGAGGGAAAGTAAGAAATCACCCCCTAGGAGGGATGGCCATGCCGCAACCCCTCCTCCTCCCTTCTCCTCTCAGGATTTTGGGTACGCACGTGCACATGCCTGGCGTGATTCTCAGGCCACTGAGTTTGGGACTCAGACTGCAGTCAATCAGATGGTAATCCAGTGCCTTCACCATACCACCTGCTGGTCCCCACCAGTTCATGTTTATTTTTTTAACAAAGCCAATATAACTCTCATAAAAACATAATAAGTATTATTTAAAAAACTAAGGGACCATCAGGTAGGGTGGTGGTTAAGGCACTAGATTCCCATATGGCCTACCGCAGTTCAAGTTCCAGACCTGGTGACTTGCTTTCTCACTTTTCTCTCTCTCTGGTGAGCACATGTGCCCTATGGCAAACTAAAAAATAACAACAACAATAATAAATAAAATAATTGTTTTAAAAAAATTTTTAAATGGGGGCCAGCAGATGGTGTGGTGGTTAAGTTACTGGACTCCCACATGGCCAATCGTGATTCAAGTCCTGGACCTGGTGACTTGCTTTCTCACTCTCCTTCTCTCTTTCTCTCTCTGATCAAATTTAAATAAATAAATAAATAAATAAATAAATAACCAGAGGACCAGCAGGTGGCATGGTAATTAAGGCACTGAACACTCCCACATGGTTGACCACAGTTTGAGTCCCAGACCTGGTAGCTTGATTTCTCTCTGTCTGTCTGTCTATCTCTGTTCAAATTAAAATAAATGAATGAATAAATTAAATAATTCTAAAAAAATTTAAATAAATAATTCTTTTAAAATATTTTTAGTTAAAAAAAAAACTAGGCCCCGCTTAGGTGGCACAGTTCATAGTGTGCTAGACAGCAGTGCTGGAAGCCATATGCAGAGCACCGGTTCAGATTCTCAGGTCAGCCTGAAAACATGCCAAGTCATGCACAGGTACTCAAGACCCTAAGGAGCTGGGGTCTGTGAAGAGGGAATGGCAGCATGATACCCCTTCCTTGTGTGATGACACTCTGTCATGAAAAATATAAAACTGAGTCAGCCAGTGGCATGGATCCCACATGGGGCAGCTGGGTCTCACAAAGCCAACTGCATGGTTTGAGTATCAGACCCAGCAGTTTGAAAAACACACCAGGTGCATGTGCATGTATGCCCAAAATGCCGAGAAGAGAATGGAGAAGGACTTGCAGTGTGACCATCCCCTGGTGGATGCTTTCTCACTTTGTCTCTCTGTCTCTCTTTCTGTCTCTCTCCAGCAAGCACACATGCCCTATAGCAAATTTAAATAAATAAAATTGAAAAGACCACTGTAGTGAATCTATCTCGCTAATACAGATAGACAAAAGAAAATATAGCAATGTCTCAAAAGGGTAATAACTGTTACTAACCTGGCTTACTTCAGAGCTGTAAAGGTGGTTCATTATAAGGAGTTCTGCTACTGTACAATGATCTATTATATCAACCAAGTAATTGAGGAAAAACTGGTCTTATCAGTAAATGTACTAGGAGTCATCTGGTGGCATAGTAGTTACGGCACCTGAACCCCACATGGCTGACTGCACTGTCTGAGTCCTAGACCCTGCGCCTTGAAAAACAAGCCTAGGGGATGGGACCAGCAGTTGGCGTAATGGTTATGTCCCTGGACTCCCACATAGTCGACTGCGGTTTGTGTCCCAGACCCAGTGGCTTAAACTCATGCCAGGCGCGTGTGTGTGCATGCCCAAGATCCCGAGAGGAGAATGGAGGAGAAGGGATTGCGGCGTGGCCATCTGCCCTGGGGGGTTGATTCTCACTTTCTGTCTCTCTGTTTCTCTCTGTCTTTCTGGCAACACCCCCTATACAAAAACCCTCTAAAAAAAAAAAAAAAAAACTGGGGGAGCTGGCAGGTGGCATGGAAGTTAGGGTGCTGAACTCCCACATTGCTGGCTGCAGTTTGAGTCCCGGACCTGGGCTTACTCTCTCACTTTCTCTCTGGTTACATTAAAAAAAAAAAAAAAAAATGGGGCCAGCAGGTGGCACGGTGGTTGAGTGCACTGTACTCCCACATGGGTGACCATGGTTTGAGTCCTGGACCTGGCAGCTTGTTTTCTCACTTTCCTACTCTATCTCACTCTGTCTTTTTCTGATCAAATTAAATTAAATTAATTAAAAATAATTTTAAAAAACTAATAATAAATAAAATTGAATGAAATAATTATTTTTCTTAAAATAATTATTTTACTTAACTTTATTTTAATATGACCAGAGTGAGAAAGAGAAAGTGAGAGAGAGAGTGTGAAAGCGAGAAAGCAAGCCACTAGTCTGGGACTCGAACCTCAGTCAGCCATGTGGGAGTGCAGTGCCCTTAACCACCACTCCACCTGCTGGTCCCTCAAATAATTCTTTTTTTTTTTTTTTTTTTTTTTT